CGTACGGCGGCTGACTAGTTCAAGGGGTGCAAGTATCCTGTACATTGCGACCTCTTTGGTTGATGTGGATCATCGAGGTGGACCCTTGAATGGATCTCCTGCGACTATCCCAGCGAGGGTCCAGGCCGACGATGAGGGATTCACATTCAGCAAAGAATCGCCCAGTAACAGTTCCTGAAATGTTTCCAACATGCAGCGGACTGGCACCTCAATCTCTTGCAGATTCATAGAGGCAATGCATTCTTCGCAGGCATAGTCGCTGCACGCACTGGTAGGCGAGGTCATCAGCGATTGATTTTGTGCATTGAAGTCTACGGATACGGCAGCGGTTGAAAATGGAAAAAATAATACCGATTACAATGACAACGACGATAACGACATCGACTAAAGAACGGCCGTGGCTTTCCACTGCAACACCCTGCTTAGCTTCACTCGCATCAGTCTTCACTCACCGTCCGTGCCTTTACTGCGTAACTAGAGCCTTTCGCCTGTCTATATTGGTCTTTTCAGCCAATCCATTCCTTGTGCCACCATATATCAACTTTATCACTTTTTTCCTCAGGGATTTTCCATACTCACAGACCTCAACTCCGCATTTTCGCCTCTCTCGTACTTGACAGTCTTCATCGCCAAAGTCGGTCAAGCTGAAAGACCCATAGTTATATCATGGCCGACTTCATAAACGCATCAAATGACAGCATTGTTCAATATTCGACAATGCGAGACTGGCCTCAGGTCTGACTCAACCCCGCCACCTTCGTATCTGGGGTTTAATATTTAAGAAGAGCTGAGCAAGACATCATTAAAGCCTCCTCTCAGGATACCAGACCATCTGATACCTTCCTCTGACTGAGGTTCAGGAGTGGCTGAAGAACATGGCTGGATAAGGACTGTCAGTTTGATGTTGTACCGGGCACGCCGCGAGCTCATGATAACTTGTGGTGAATGACAGAAGAGACAGCACGCATCACCGAGCCGCGCCGCCAAGTCTTCGGAGGTCTTAGTGGGGTTATCGTTGGTGGGGGTGTGCTTGGCGTTTGACCAGGATAAGGGAGGATATGGCTAGAGGCACAGGGACTCGGACGAGTCACAAGCGAGAATCCAAGTGCTGTGCTTGAGATTGGTGATAACCGTTCCGCTGAAATCACCATTTCAGCGATAGTCGCAAGCCGCTTATTTCCTTTAGGGGAGCCTAGGGACGTTGCATTGTCGGGACTTCAGTCCCTGATGGGCTCTTAGTGCTGGACCTTCATTTCCAGCAGCCCACCAGGACCAGTCCAGGCTTGAATCCTTTCAGCAGTAACCAAACCACCATGATAATATTACGACGATACCAGAGGCACACTGGCCAGTACGGTCAGGATAAAGATCGAGTACATGCATACGCATCAGCCATTGCCTATGCTCAGCGTTCCATACCAGAGACCAATGTCTCACGGACCATGGCCACGAGCATTGACGACCAAGCTTATCAACGCCATAATTTTATGTTGTTTTCGTTGTTTGTTTACTTAGCGACGGGCACGCCGTTCTCGAGCACAGCTGGTGTTATCGGCGGTGCCCCAAAGTGACATAGTACTCAAGAAAGGGATTAAGCATCCGCAAGATGGACAGAGAGTTCGCAATGCACCACTGGCGTTGTTGCAACGGGAAAATGTCACACTTTGTTTTCTCTTTGCGACATGGTTACTTGACAGCCGAAATTCTGAAATTCCCTGCTGGTGGAGCGCCGGCATTTGGTAGAGATTATGCATCGAGCAGCGGGAGAAGAATGACATGCAGTTCTTGATTACACTGATTCGCGTGTGGTTCTCTTGTCTGTTCGATGACGGCCCTGATGTGATACAAAACCTCGCACATCATGTTAAAATATCCCCATGTCGGCTGGTCTCCTTAAGCGAAACTCAAGATATACCACGCCGCTGTTTCAACAAACAATATTGCTGGCGGGTGGCTTATTACATTACTACTGTGAATACATACAAAGGAACAACATATCGTTTATAATGGATATCGCAATGACTAGCCAACCGTTACATGCTGTCAACTTCAAACACCGAAATACCACCATGATCAACCACCCACACCAACCAAGCGACTCGACCATTCCATGGCTTCATCATTTCTTGATTAAGAAGCAATCAGCAGCACCATCACACGCAACATCAACACCGAACCCACCTGCAACCCAACGCGTCACGGTCAGATGGCTGTCACGACTATCGATGGCACATCTAAGACACGGCCGTCACGCAGCACAGCTATTCGCTACCACGAGACCTCCGACCACTTTCCAGACATTTCCCTCAATATCTTATCTTATGCTTATACCACGCGCATCTCGTCATGAGGTTTAAGCGTGTGGAAAAGAACCCTTTCTCTCTGTCACCACGGTACCTCTTTCGCCAAAACACCCCTTGCTCCTCTTCATTGGCGTTTGATCTGTCGAGGTTATGGTCCATGATGACTAGGTATCCTCGCATCTGCATCTTTGCTGCGCCTTTGAACTTTGCGGAGCCTCTGGCCATTTCATATTGTCTTGGCGTTTTAGCTGGAGTTATGTCATACCTCCACTAAAGCTCATTGACATTAATCTATGATTGGGGAAGTCGAATGTCATCTTGCTTGGAAGGGCCTCGAGAGTACCTGGTCGAAGTTCCACTCCAGATGTTAGGTAGCGGATACTTGTGGCCTGCAGGCTGTTGAGCTAGCTATCTTTTGTCCCTGCTCATTAGTGGATGCTCATCCCGCTCCGCTGAACCATTTCAAAAATGCTCAAACTCACGATGATCTTTAAACAATCTCAACATCTGCCAAGACAAATTCAAAGCTAATGAGCATCGCCGTCACTACGATAAAAGAGGTGATCAGTGTTGGATTATCACTACATCGGCTTTATTCTTATCGTATCAGTTTGCAAGAACCCCATTTTACTCACGACTACACAGGTCGATCCTGTTCATCTTCACTCTATGTGTTACTTGGTTCGGCATACCCAATACAGTGGTAGATGGCCAACAGGCGCGGTACCCTACGATGTCAGAGACTGGAACAAATTCTACTTTACATGGTGTTGTTACGCAAGAAATCGCAAGCCAAGTCCTTGTGGAACTGAGGCGGCATGGCTGTGTTTGCTAAGACGCCAGTGAATCCTACGCCGCTTACAAGAGTCGTAACGCGGCCCGTAACATGATAGTTACTAGGTGAAGATTAACACTAAGCACAGTCGAGATGGACTCAAACAAGACCACGAAAGAACTATGGCCATATCGAAGTTCAGATATCCAGACGATAGCTCTGATGAGTCTACGGCCAGAGACAAGGTCTAGACCATTGAATTCAAAGTCAACATCAGTCTTCCTGCCCAATTTGGCAATGTGTCTTGGGTGGGCATACAACGTTCGACATATAAGCCGCTGCAGGAGAATATCCTTTCTGCAGTCATGGTCACAGACGCGGTTTGAGCAGGGTGCAGCCGTCAAATGCAGCTCAAATGGCCGTGCTTGGTCATACTAGTATTTTCGAGAAAAATCGTGAAGTATACGTATCAAGCCCCAAATTCTACATGTCGAGATCTCAACGCTTTTCGGAGATGTTCCTCTCTTTCTGGCAAGAAGATCCAGCAACACAAACAAGGGTCCCAGCATCTAAGAGCCAGGACATCCTTATCGTGCACTGACCATGATCTGGTGTAGCCCATCTATATAGGATTGGTCCGAGTCATGTTGTCTCAAAATTGCTTTTTCCGATGATAGACATTCTTGAGGAACCATGTTCCATCCAGCTTCAATCTGGGGAAACAGTTTTAACCGTGAGTCAGATATAAATTCCTCAGATCACTTCTCATACCATGTTCCATATTTAAACTCTTCGACGCGGCCTAGTGGAGCTAGTGTCCTTGAAAGCGGACAAAAAGAAGCCATTCTCGAACTTGTAATGCATAGCCTTGGATTGTCTCACTCATTCCTGGGATCCAGCAGTTCACACTGGTTTCATGTTGTTTATTCTGTCACGAGTCGCTCATCACAAGGGATCAACAAGCGAAACAAATGCTCCGTTATAACATGCTTATGACCTGTCTCGAATTTGGTTATGTTGAACACACGCCACTACTGAGACTTGAGACAATCTACTCAGATGCTAGCGGACAGAGGATCTAGAGTGTGTGTTAGAGATCCATCCTTCTTTTGGCAAATAATAGAAGTTTCTGTCCCTCCAGCATGCCTCATCAATTAGATGGTACTCTTTGCCATGTAATTGGATCGGTGACTTTGCGCCCTCATCTCGTCTGACTCTTTGCGCTACTGGCGGATATTCTAGAAATCAAGGGATGGCAGCTAACCAATGATGAACAAGAAACCACCATGCCCAGATTGCAACAGAGAGCACATGATGCACAATCTCGCATTCCTCACTCTTGATTTGGGGCTGGCAGAGTGGCAGCTCGGTCGATGACCGTGCTAAAACGATCGATATTTCTTCCTCCGCCCATCATATTCTCTCACCGCTGCTCTACCCCCACGACTTCTAGGGTCAAATCTTCATCCCCCAGAATTCAAAGATGACATACATGATGCCAGAAGAACGACATTTCAGATATTGCTGATTCACTGAGCGTATTCTGCAGACGCCTCAGGTTGATGTGGCTGCAATTAGATGAGATGCATCTTAAGTGTTCTTTTCATATTCCATGGGCTAGATGGGGTTGCAATTACCACCGATATCGTTTGAATGGATGAAGCCTCCAGCACATGTCATTCAACACACACGGTGCCCCCTCTGTAAGAACATCTGCACAATACCCCTCGATCTGGTGGGGAATTGTCCAATCTCCTTCGACGACATGCCACCTTTGCATCTCAATGGAAGGGCCCCGGCTTCAATGACGAAAGGGCCACCGTTCACCAAATGACAGGGCATTTCTTTTTAGAGATCTGGCATTTACAGAAGGCAAGTAGTGGATAAGTTAGTGATTGTAAAATTATCACAGGCTCTATCTACTAGACTATTGTCTTTTGCTCCGAGCCACCCGTAGCCTGCACACACATCATGACTTTGATCCATGTTTTTTCGGATCCCGTCAAAGGTTCGATAGGGAGGATGATTGCGTGTGACCATGTTTCACCAGCGCCTGGGACAAACATCTAAATAGATATTATAACGCCCCGAAATTGAAAGACAAAGAAGATGTTACATTTAGTGCGGGTCACTGTCGTCGAAGCCCACGGCGGCTTTCTGGTATCGGATCAAGGCATGCTCACACATAGTTTGTGCAACGAGAGGTATCCATCAACTTTCATCAAGGCATAGTTGAGTTAAGTCGGTTGTCCGCGATTTATCCCGACTTACAAAACCGAGCATCGGATATGGAGTTGCGGCATCGAGATGCTCAGTGTACCGCTTACACCAAGCTTTTAACTCGAGGAGATGGATGGCACGGCCCTTCTGTGGCTCCTTTAGTTCACGGACTCTCATATTAGTCACAACTGTCAGACGTTTGGTGGCGGGCACCAATGGACCCTTCATGAAGAGGACAAAGCCTCCAAGTTGGAGTCCAGATTTGGGGTTGATCTTCATCTCGACAAAAAAGTTTCCAAGATTATCGCCCGCATCATTTAACGCGCTAAAGAACAAGGGTCCCCTCGTCTTGTTCTGGTGCCAGTAGTGGGACGCTTCAACCTCACCGTAACCCACATCCAGGCTGAGCCAACCAGAGAGTCCCTGGCTTTATGACGTCAAGCAGATGTTGTTGACAAGCATGGATGCTGATATTGGGCTGATGCATCGGCAGTTAGACGTCGGCTTTATTCTTCAGGGTCCAGCGAGGATTAAGAGCGTCAGTGCAACTCAAACTCTAACTCGCACTCCCTGATGAATCGGACCCTGATATACAGGGGATCGACTGCTGATCTCACAGTCTAGCAGTATCATGAAACATCGTCTTATCCGAAGAAAAGATGCGCGATGGAAATTGCTATGGCATGATCTACCGTCAAAATCGAGTGACATTCATCGCCCGTTGGACTTAAAATACCTTAGACAAAGCAAATAAAGGAACGACCCCGCCAGACCCCGCCTGCGCACGTCAGTGGATCGCGAATTTGGTGCATCTGGCGCTTGTGGCTTTGTCAAGGATAGCCTCGTTTCTATTAAAGCTGAGGCTGGCTGACCGCTTACCATGAGATTGGACGGCATTGATCTGGAGGGGTAAGTTTCTCGTCTTGTTCCAGGTTTTTGGAGACCCATGGGGAATTTTTCCACTCCACGATATTCTCGAAACTGGGTTGTATTCGATCCACTCAGACCCAGAGTCCCTCTTCCAAGTCGCTTGTCCATGCTGTGCATACGCGCCTAGCTTACATACATGTTCCCGGCATAGAAGCCTCTAGCCTACGTGTAATATCCGATTTGAGGGTATTTCCATGTACGATTCACACTCCGAGGATCGTGAATGGTCCCGGGGTTATGTGCTGGCCATTTTCTTGTGGGGGAATTCGACTGGCAGACGTCAGTGCCGGCGTCAAGTTTGACGTGATCTCTAGTACAGCCGAGTTCCATGCATTGCATGGCAACTTCAACTAGCATGCTCTTTCTGGCGGTGTCTGACCAAGATTCAGTGCCAATCGGTTTGCAAGTCTCGGATATCACGAGGGAAGGCGAATATCAAAATGTAGTGCACTCACTTAAATGGAGTATTCCATGGACCTTCGAAGCGGCATGTGGGTATCTTTAGATCTCATGTTCTGCACGTCGTCTTACAGGACAGTGTCTTGTATTATCTACTTACTCTTTGATGTAGCATACCTGCACCTGGAACTGTGGATATGTGATAATGCAATCAGCCTCGAATATACGCATTGCGTTCTTGTCCGCCTCGGTCTCAGCCGGTGTGGTGTCAATTTGAGCGATTTGTATATGGCAACACCTTGTATCGACCAGGAACGTTGCTTTCTTGCAACAGTCCCGTTTGGTTGACCAGCTTAGAGCTTGTGTGCCTGATAGATCGGTCGATTCTATCACGGGGTGCGAAGATTTCTCTTTCACGAGTGCTTGAGTTGTGTAGACTTGTTCGCTTCCATCGTGGTGTGTTACTTGACCCCAAGATTCTCTCAGGTTGAGATGCTGAGCTATCGTACAGTTCTATAATATGCTCGGCCCATACATCGTATGTTCTTCATAAATATTGTATACAATAAAAGTACAGGCTAATGAGACACCCCAACTCTTGAACGAGATTCGTTGGGTTTGGGTTTGGGTCTTCACCGTGATTCTCTAGGGTAGGCGGCTCAAGACTGGATATCCACAAGCTTCTCCAACGTCCTGAATCCATCATGAGCAAAGCCCTTGGTCACGTCCACCTTGTAGCTCTTGCCGTCAACTATGATGAAACCAAAGCCCATATCAGTCCACGCTGATTTGACACCGTCGAACATGGCTGCCAGGGTTCGACCCATTCTTCGGAAAGGCATTGTGAAGATGTGCTGCATGTCGAACTCGTGCAAGGCCTTTTGCTGCTCCTTCGCCTTCGCCTCCAACTCTATGCGCCTCAGTTGAGGCACATACTCATCTGGCAGCGAGAAGCGCGTCTTGAGAGCAATGTCGCTAACCGGAGCGACAATGACCTTGGGTTTGAGGAATGGGACCATTCTCTTAACGGTGATTTCCAACTGCAATGGCGTGGTGGGAGCGATCTTGGATGCCTGGTAAGGGAGAACGCGTATCTGTCCAACAATGTTTGGGGTCTTTGCGATCATGAATGTTCCCATGGAAGCGAGCAGTAGATATGCTGTTCCGAACACAATACCAATCCATTGCGGTACACCTTCAGGCTGCTGTACTACCAAATGTGTAGTAGATCCTGTCCAAGCAAGTAGAAATAGCCCACTCGACCAGCAACCAAAGTAAAACCAAAAGTGTGAGGGACCTTCGTAGAGGACGGTTGGGGTTGGTTTTGAAGCGAGACTCTTGATGAAGGCGTATCGACTAGGCGCCATTTGAGCAGCGGAGGCAGCAGCGGCGGCCCTCGAGGCCGTAGGAGATCGAGCTGCTTTCACAGCAGGCCCGGCAGATCGGAGGACGGAGGTACTGAAGAAACGGGATCGGAGGAGGACGGACTCGGCACGAGGTGCAAGGAGGGGCCGGAGGCCGGGGAGGCAGAAGCCCCTTGCGAGGCCAGCCATTGCGGGAATTGAGCTCCTCGGAGGTGGATGTGAGAGAAGCGACACCAAAGAAGCTCACGGGTGGCGGGAATATTTTGGTTTGCTCAGTGATGCTATCCAATTGATATCGCTAAACGATGGTGGGCTGAACTTTCAAAAATGAAGCTATTTGGAAATTCCGATCGGCAATAAGCCGGTAATAGTTGGTTCCTGATCGGACAACTTTTCGCCGCAACCCGAGGAGATAGCCAAATTCAACGGTTGAGATGGGCTTGGTTATGGCATAAGCTTTGAGAAGAATCAATTTATGAAGGAAACACTTACTTGAAGAAATAATTCTGAACAATCATTTTTATCCTAATCTGTCTTCTCCGATCGTAGTAAAAAGTTTATGTATAAGTCGCGCCAAAAATTTCCAAACTGTCGGACCCACTAATAAGGATATCTCAACAGCTCAATCCCTCAACACCCCGAGGTCGCTCTTACGTGCACCGAAAATCTCCCTCAACCACCTCATCTCGCCATCTTCACCCTCAATCGAGCTGTGCAATGGCCTCTCTTACAGCAGCATGCAGGGCATCTGCCCGAGCTGTTACTGCTCGGTCCGCTATTGCTCGTGGTACGTCCCGTCCATTTCCTCATGTTGAAAAAGCCCCTCGGACCCTTTTGTCGCGCACCGACTAACACATCATCTTCTGCTGTAGGCTTCACCACCTCGACGCGATGCCTCGCCGCTCAGAACTTCACCATGCCGGCCCTCTCGCCCACTATGACCGAGGGTAACATTGCTTCATGGAAGGTCAAAGAAGGGGAGTCTTTCAGTGCCGGCGATGTGCTGCTCGAGATTGAGACCGACAAGGCCAGCATGGATGTTGAGGCCCAGGACGATGGTATCATGGTCAAGATCATGGCTGGTGATGGAAGCAAGGCTGTTCAGGTTGGATCACGCATTGGTGTCATTGCTGAGGCTGGCGATGATATCAACTCCCTCGAGATCCCCGCCGACGAGCAGGCCAAGGAGCAACCCAAGGAACAGTCCAGCGCCCAGGCCCCCAAGGAGAGCACTGCCCCCTCCGAGTCGAACCCCGTCGAGAAGAAGAGCGCGAAACCTACTGGCAACGATACCTACGAACACAAGTATCCTCTGCTGCCCTCAGTTGGACACCTGATCAAGGAGAAGGGTATCAGTGAGGCCGATGTCAAGAAGATCAAGGGCACTGGTCCTCACGGTCGATTGCTCAAGGGCGATATCCTTGCCTACCTTGGAAGCATCAACCCCGAGACTCCCGCTGCCAACGAGGTCAACTTCAACAACTTGTTCCACCTCGACCTCAGCAACATCAAGGTCGCTACCAAGCCTGCTCCTCCTTCCAAGCCTGTTGAGGAGGCTAAGGCTGAGGCTCCCAAGGCCCCCGTGGTCGAGAACCTTGAAGTTTCCATCCCTATCACTCTGACAAAGGTCGTTGAGGTCCAGAAACGAATCCACGAGACCCTCGGTGTCTTCCTGCCCATCTCGACCTTTGTCGGCCGCGCCGCTGAGGTTGCCAACGACGACCTCCCTCCTACCAAGCGTGCCCCTACAGCCAACGAGCTTTTCGACCAGGTTCTCGGCCTCGATAAGATCAAGGCCGCTAAGGGTTCTCGCGGTGTCTACCTGCCCCAGATCTCTGCTGTCCCTCCCACCTCTCTGCTCACTCCTCTCCCCTCCGCCCGCAAGCAGACTGATATCATTGACATCCTCGCCGCGCCGAAGAAGTCCGCCCCTAAGCCCGCCACCATCCAGACCGTCCCTGGTCTGTCCAGCGGCACCAATGTGTTCACCCTTGTGGTCCCCAAGGCCGAGGAGGAGAGAGCACAAATCTTCCTTGAGCGTTGCAAGGTGATTCTTGAGGAGGAGCCAGGACGATTGGTGTTGTGAGCTTACGAAGATTCCCTGTAATATATCGATTTTTTTTTTGCTATAGACAATGGCTAGTAATTGCGCTTGGAACGCACTCTTGGTATTATGTCTACGCCTTTTCAGTGGTGTTTTGCCAGATAGCTAGAACTACAAATCCAATGATGAAACATGTTTGATGCCAGAAACACATCTCTAATAAACTGGTTCTTTGTCCCATTTGGTGCTGGTATATCGCGTTGTTCGTGTTGTGTTGAAGTCCTTAAAACTAGAATATGACTAGTCTTTGCATGTAGCGAGCCCTCTGCCCAGAATGGGACTTCGGTGAGTCGGCTTCCCAAGATAAAAAGTTCCATGGGCAAAAAAAGGCTCCGAAAATAGAACTATCGAGTATCATCTGCCTAAACAGGATGACAGGATGACAATGCTGTGTTCATGAGATAGGACTCATACTTCACTATTGAATGCTTACAATTCCGTCTATACTATTTTGAACAATTGTACTAAATCCTAACCGATCACTTCGTAAGCCTGCCCTGTTTCATATCGCTACCATGTATTCTTATCCACTACCCAGCCAAACAAATCACCATCTTATGGAAAAGGAGTATTGTGTAACCTTGAGATACCAGAGCCTCAAGGAGCAAGAAAACTTCTAATATCTAATAAGGGTGTTAAAAATAACTCATCTAAAGGCCTACTAAGTATATGCTAAACTTGCTAAGTCTATCCTAAACCTATCTAAGTTTTTTATCACTTAGGATATAGGTCCTAGGTTTTCTTGCCTTCCCTAGCAGAGTAAAGATGCAAACTGTTATGTACAGCCATTTCCACACTTTCTATTCATTTTGAGCTCCTCTGCAGTAAAAGTATTCAGCCAACATCCCTTCGATCTGGTCCACACCATCGGAGCATTGGATCGAACGGATAAGTAGTTCCCGTCTGCAAGGTTAAGCAAACCAGCATAAGTTCCTAGACATTCTTCAATCTTTAGTAACCGATCGGCATTCGGCTGAAGGCGAGACTATCAAATTAATTCAACTTTATTGTGGAGTTAAATGGGAAATGCCGAAATGCCAAGCTGCAGCTTAGATTGTGAATGTATCTCCATAGGCCTGCATGTACTGTATGTATTCGTCATGTATTAACGTTAGTTGGAAGCTATTGTTGTTGTGAGACGTGTCATAGCCCGTAGTAGTGTCTTTAATGCAAGAGATTGTGAGGAATCGTGATCATCAATCATGCAGGAGGATGAAACAGTCGAAAGCCTCCTTGAGAGGGCGACCTTTCTAGTCGACTTGCATTAGTGATGCCTCAACTGAATTACACAGGCAAGACTAGAACTGCAAGCTATGAATTGGTTAACTCAAGTGGCTGAAGCTGTGCCTCGGGGAATAGGACAGAATCCGCGAACCCGGTCGATGGACAGGATCATGATACATGGAAAATAGCTGAAGAGTGCCATGGCACTGGATGTATCGCTGTAAAAGTTACCAGTGAAGGCCTCGATTGGTGAAGGAAGAAGAAACAAGAGGCTATCTGCAGAAGCGTGTTACTGGGGTCGTGTTAGGCAGATTCTTACATCTCAAGTGGTCGCCCATTCGACCGATGCCAGTGGCGATGAATCACCCCTGTCTGTTGAACGCTTAAGTTAAGACATGGTGAGGTAAGAGAAGGCGAGATCGGAATGCTCATAGATGAAGATGATGCTGAGATCCTTGTCAGACTGAGCTTTGAGTTTCGATAAGCAAGTGGATGGATGACTAAGGCGTCCCGGGCCGCATGTAAGTGAAGGAAGGCGGGTTACACTAAGCGACTTTCTGGCAGCTAATGGTCGTCACGTGGAAGAAGCAAAGTGAATATAGACTTCTCTCTTTCCTCTAACTGGATCATCAAGTTGAACTTCTTCCATGATGAACAGCCTGGCTAGAGAGAAAACACCACTAGTCCTGTACTTGACATAATACGAGAAACCACCAACCAACAGAAATACCAAGACTTTCTGAGTTCCGCTTGAGAAATCACACCCCCAGGATCGATCAATCATCTAGAACGACATGTCTCCCACTCAGGACTTCAAACTACTTCGCGTCGCGAGCTTAGAGGAGCCATTATGTTGAACTTTCGCACTAGTATCATAGAGACAGGGTTCATTTCATTCCAGGAGGCCCTTCCAATAGCATATACTTGCTTCTTCTGGTCTCAGATCTGCCCCTCCCCTTTACTGCAGGACCTCGCAACCCCCGCCTGAAGCCAATGATATGACCTTGCAGCCAGAGATTCCAGGATGATCACTAAGACAAGGAGGGACTTTCAATCGCTCCATGTCTACGTCTCAAGACCCCTCTCAGCTCCTGCGGCCATGCGCCATGGAACGCCCGCGGGACGCCACAGTTGTCTGTTCTACCTCTCCCAGCAGCGTCGCTGCTTTCATCTGGTCACATAACATCACACAGCCTGGTTCCGAGCTGTCGGTACGGCTTCTAGTTGGATGCCTTGAGTCCCCATGGTTGGCAAGATGGGTAGAAAGCGTCTGTCATCCCGTTGTGCCGTCTCGTTAATCATTGGTGTACTGCATTGTCACTGCTTCTCATTTGTAAAATCCAAGGCTGTTTCTTCAGAAGCCCCCCGCCAAGGCAGAACCCTATATATGAAGCCTGGCCTCCACCATCTTTGGAACCAATATTCACCAAAAGCGATCAACAACTGAGCAAGACTTCCCCGAAGTGATTTGAAGTTACGGAAGTCCTTTTTGTGTTCTAGTTTCGTATCTTGAACAATCTTGGCAGGGCCTGCCGCAGGTTTTCCTGGTTGGATTTCACAGTTCAGCTACAAGGTGACAAGAATATCGTCCCCTTCTTCCAGCAGGACCCTCACACTTAAGATTATTGAGTCACCAACTATCCAGCTGCTTTTACAACACGCATCAGCTTACATCAGTACCACGAGACTGTTTTGCGAAAACAATCTCCTCCATATACATCGACACAAAGGCTATCTCCGAAGCGTACCGTTTTGACAGTCGTATCTGGCATGACGCGGCTGAGAGTCCCAGCAGATAAGCGCAGAAGAGTTGCACAGGCCTGTAACACATGCAGGAAGCGCAAGCAGCGAGTAAGAACAAGAATTCATTCCCCCATTAATTCGTCGATTTTCTTTACCAATGCACTTTCTTTTCATTCTATCAGCAGACTTCATGTTATCCTTGATTCCTTGCCACAACAACTCTAAGCTATAGAGTGTCCTAATCATAGGATGCATGGTCTCGCAACTGGTGCAGCTACTCTCGGATGGTTTCCGCTGTAGACTCTTACCCCTGAAACATCAAGTCTGTTAGCTAGGCTTCATATGGTCCGCAAATAACTGAATGGCAAAGGATATACTAACATAACTTCATCATATAGTGTGATGGCCTTCGTCCTTGTAAATTCTGTCGAAAACGAGAAGCGGACTGCGAATACAGGAGTCGTACAGACTCAGTATCATCGAGTGAATCTCCTCGTTCGCTATCCAGGCAAAGCCCTTATAGAGAGCGTTTTAACCCCCCTGAGCTTTCTGGCGTGCCGGATTCGAACCATGATGCATCCAACCAGGAGAGCCTTGAGAGATCAGTCACCCCAGATTTTGATTTCAGGTTTCGAATTGTTTCGGTTTCTGGATCCGAAGAAATCAAGATACCTGCACACACTTGCATGCTGCTAGATTGTCAGAATCGGCTCTGTGAGTCTATTGGCTAATATAGAGTGATTTGATAATTGTTACTAACATTTCTAGCATTTGTTGGGCGTTCTACTGCTCACTCTTTCATGCACCATATCAGGAACACTATCGAGAAACGCGATGGCCCCTCAGAATTCACAGCAGATAGCAATTGGAGCGGCCTACCGGAAAGACTTCCCGTGACCCCTAGGATGCAAACCTTTCTCCCCTCAAGTACAACTGCGAGTTTAATCGAGTTCTATTTCAACCATGTTAGTCGATTTTTTACTCGAGAAAGAAGAAACGGGCTGATATTGCAATAGGTACGGAGCTTCATCGACATCGTAAACCCAGAAGCGGTGAGCCTGACATCGTATCGATTTCAGAATAACCCGAATGAGATTCAGGGACCCGACCGGTGCATTTTCTGTTTGGTTCTAGCAGTTGCGCTCGCCCTGGATCCCGGTGATTCAGCACACTCACCAAACCCAGAATTCAAACACCAGCTGTTTGCCATAGCTGAAGGGCTGGTCCACCCAACCCGTACATTCGAAAGATCCCAGTACCACGATGACGTCCTTTGGCCCCTCCAAGCTCTCGCTTTGATGTCTTTCTTTATGTTATCTGTTTCCATGAGGAATACTGCGTACGAATATTGTGGCAAGTTTCATAACATTTATGTGCAGACTATCGAGGCTAACAAAGGTTCAGGCCGAGCTGTTCGAGTTGCCTACGCCCTTGGGATCCATCGAGGCCACGAGTCTGAGATCAACCAATTCCCCGCCAACGAAGAACTCAGAGTTCTACGACGGAACGTTTGGAGGAGTTTGTTTGTTCTAGACAGATTTCTGGCTGCATCGTTAGGAAGACCGTTCGCCATCTCCGATAACGAATACTCCGAATCCTCCCTTAGACCACCCAACCGACCAAGCAGTCCCAACAAAGTTCCGAAAAGGGACATGCTCGATCCCGCTATTGATGCATGTTTAATGATTGGTCATGTTGTGAACAACATTTATTCATGTGACAAGGTCGCGATTGAGGTTCCGAATCAGATGTTAAGGTACCTGGAAGCTCACCCGAGTTTCCAAAATGATGGATTCTTTACGACGAGCAACTTGATACCTACAGTATCGCAAATTCACATGCATTTACTTGGCTTCTACGCTAATATCCTCCTCTGTCGCCCCTTCTTCCTTTTATCCTTCATGGGAACAAAAACCTCGGATGGGATCGAGACACAAATCAATAGATTGTCTGAAAGATGTGTGTCTCAATCATTTCAAGCGGTTGAAAAAGTGAAAGGGGGATTTCGTGCAAACCTGTTGCGTCATTTTGACCCCCTTGCTCTGTAAGTCTGCTGCATATTGTCGACGTTGAGTATTCACTTATAAAAGCGCAGTTATTTATTATTTGAAGCGGTGCTTGTCTTGCTTAGCAGCACTTATGCAGATATCTACGCTCGGGAGGAACACTTGTCTTTGGTAAAAGACGCAATGTTCATCTTCAAGACATGGTATGCATCAAGCCCTTATGCAGAACAATTCGCCTCCAAGTTGGACTTGTTTCGGCATGAAGTTGAACGCCAAGAACAAGCGAAAGCTATCAAACAGGCTTCAAGGAGACAGGCTCACCGAGTTAAGCGCGAGCCGATGACAACCTGCGAGCCTAGCCAGTATCGCTCTCCATTCCATCCAATGCCTCCCGGTAGTTTGGTATCTCCATGCGATAGCCGTCGCGGGTCAGGGACCGCAACTCACACTATGGTCAAACAAGAAGCCGATGGGTACTCGGACTCTTTGACATCAAGACCCTTGTTCTCGCCCACCGAGTTCAGCATGGCTCAATCTCAGGCTTTTGCCAAGTATTCGCAAAGTTCACAGTTCAGTGATCATAGCATCGACACGGACTAGTCTGTCTTGAGCGTTCTTCAAGGTCCAAATTGGTCCGTCCTCGGTCGCCTGGCAGCCCAGGCATACAATGGGCCACTCCAAGTGGTTCATTCGCGGGAAGGGACAATAGTCTAACGCAGCCAAGCAAGTGAGAGAAAACATGAGCCTGGTAGGAAGAGATCTGGCAGGCAAATGAAGATAGTTCGGTAAAAGCGGATGAGCTTAACACTTGGCATAGGAGGAAGGATTGTTAGTGTGCTGGATTGGGAGGCAGATGTCAAATACGGCATGCTAGCTTAGTACTTTTCTGAGATGGAATTCAGGGACATCTGTTACAGACTTCAATTACAAGCATGTCTAGGTAGTTGATATCTCACTCAACACCTCGAAGATTTACCTACAGTTCAGGAGCAACTACTGGCTCTGCATTGAATAAATTCAGCTCCTGACCCATAAAATTGTGATATATGAGTTAGAAGTGATTCCCTAACAGTTTGAGACTTTTGTCGCTGTGCCTTTCGTATTGGCAGACATCATTTTGCTTCTTCATCGCAGTGCAGTACCATCCACTGCTGAGTACTAAATGATTACATTGGAAGTCAGTCTACTGCACAATGATATGATTTCACATCAAATATCGACTAAGAGATAAGAGACAACAACAAGAGCATATGATCTTCAGCAACGCCCACCAATACCGATCATAAAGGTGAAACCCGGTGAGTTGAAAAATGACTGGTCGCTGTTTAGCTCTAAGGGTATATAATGCAGCTAGTACAGTACCAAGACGCTATTTCAGCTAATGTTCCGCATTACCTGGCGCATGAATACATCTTTTTAACAATGTTTGCTTGATACATCATATTCCTTTACGATTCTAGATTGCAATTTGATCGCCACCTTAGGCTAAATGTGATGTTTGCATACTATTACATGCATGTTTGCTCGATAGTATTCGCAACGAATCATGCGATGTAACAAAAGAGGAAATATTTGGAGTAGTTTCGGTTCCCGGTACATGGATATATCCCTTCTTCAAGCCACATAACGCACGCACGAAATGCAAGACTGCGGCACTTTTGCCCGGCAGGCAATGCAATGCCATGCCATACATACAGCAGTACAGTCCAGTCCAGGTCCTGCAGGTGTCTCAGTTTCTCAAGTTTGCGGGCGGCGGGCTTATTGTCCATCTGCGTGACACGCGCCACGTTGAGTCTGACTGGTTGTTGAGTAAATACTCTGAGATAGCTCTAAACAGTAAGAGTCAATATGTCTCTGACCGATAAGTTGCATTCAATGGTTCTGTAGATGCATCAGCCACCAACGAATCTAACAAAGTATGCACTTCTGAATACAATAGTTCCTCTCATATGCACCTCTTGCATCACCAGTTCCCGGGCCCGAATTGTTCTCCCTCCGGTACATGAGTTTGTATCGCTGTCCCCTGAACATCCATCGTCGAAGTGACAATATTGTTTCCCCACCAGCTTGGCGGATCTACACCATGCAGCGTAAAGGCGAAGAAGATGAACAACGTCGCTAGGGCGAGACCTAGATCAAGAGCCGACGACGTTAGGAAGTTGAGTCTGGTCCACCACCTGAAGTGGCGCTTCTTGATCCAGAACTGAAATACGAAGCCAACGATGCCCCACGAGAGATAATTCAGCGGTGTTGCAGGCGGGATCGCCCCTGCACCTCCAAAGATGAGAGGTGCCATGAGATATCGCACCGGAGACCTAGGCCATCGTTTGGCTAAGACGTAGATAACTATTGGTGTAATGGCACCCAAGATAAAGAAGACGAAGAGGCCGGAGTAGACCTGACCAGGGGAGAACATGCGTGCAGGGCCGAGAAGACCCCAGATGATAGACGCTACATCTCATGTGTCAGAGAACAAAAACGCCCAGTCTTGGCATAACTTACCAGCGAAGAAGACACGACCACCAGGACAGGTAAAGTGATCGACCTGGTGGTGCTTGCAGACGTCAGGGATATTATTAAGAGACAAGTTTAGGACGACGATCTGGATAAAGCACGAGAATGTAGTGGCGACGACTTGAGACAGGAACATAGTGCGAGGGGGGATCTTCATGTAATGTCCGAACTTCAAGTCCGAGACAAAACGAAGTGATTGCGCCCTGGGGTGAGTGTTAGCTAGTTTCGCTCTTTCGGCATTTCGAGGGGCGTGTCTACATTGTGATGTATCCATATGTTTTGAAGCTATAGTAGGTTAGCACAGAAGAGTATTGAAGTGGAGGCCGAACATACATCATTAGGGCTAGAGGTCGACCTGGTTGGAGATATCCGTAGATGAACTCTGTCAGGACGTTCAAACCAATTTGCGTGTTTGTAACAGCTTGAATAATGCCTATAGGGAGAGCGAAGCCAAAAGAGATGGCTATAGCAAGTAAGAAAGCCCACCAGGAGAGGTTAGTTGGGTAGCCTAGCACTGTATAGAATCCAATTAGTAGCATCTGCTTCATTGTCAGTGAACTACACAAGAAGAGGCACTCAACATCATGACTTACAACAGCAAATAGAGACATATACCACCACGTAGGCGCTTCTTTATACTTTCTCATGAGTTTCATGTGAATATCAGGCTTCTCACTTGTGCTGTTTCTCCATTGTTGCCAGATCTGCTTTCCGTTGTGGAGATAGGTGTAGACAACGAGTGACGATATAGCAGCGAATGACAAGCCGTAAGAGATGGCGAAAGTGGTGCTTTCTATGGTTAGTCCTGATCGTCAGTACATGAAGAACTTATCATACCTAATAAAAAGGGGTGAGTAGTTCTTGTACTCTTCTTCATCCAATGTGAAGTCCTTCGTGAGAATTCGTGTGGTGTTGTAGCGAGCCCCTGTGTTGTCGTACGTTCCAGAGTCGCTCATGGGCAAATACTCAGCATACCACGCTCCTCCGTAGTGAAGAAAAGATGATCCTATAACAAAGAATAGAACAACGCCAATGACGGTATTGGCGATGGCATGCCTTTTCATGATTAGCTACGTCTTTCAAGAGCTTCCGTCAGACGTACCACGGCGGAATGAGCGGCGAGCCAACATATCCTGCTATTTGAGTCCAGTCAAAGGTGATAGGAAGAAGCGAAACACCTGTCTGTCCTCCGAATAGCTGATTCACAATAGGATTCTGAGGTGCCATCCAAGTGGCCACAGCAAAGATACTCAGAAATTGGGCCAGGAAGCCTGGAATGAAGTAGTATACAAAGGAACATGCGGTGACAATGACGAACCACTTATACCTGTGCATTCTACCTCCCAGAATGGTAGGATCTGGTGTATCGTTTGTCTCGTACATAGCATTCATGAGAGTTACGCCAACAAGATTCTCGGGCCAGATCATGGATGCAGGATAGACTTTTATGGTTAGTTGAAGGGCTAGTGTGGCATAGCGAGAACTTACCCAAGAACTTGCGTAGCATTCCTGCAATACCATATCCCACAGATTGTGTTGATATAGTCAGGAGAAGCTGGAACACAAGACCAAAGTCCTGCTTGTAGAAGATGACCTGTGCAAGGATGATATCCGTAGCATAAGCAACAGAGAATGACACACTGGCCATGACAACGATAATGGCGTGTTCCTTAACATTGAAGGGACCAGGGTTCAGAGTCCACGTTATACCAAAAGTGTTGAACTCCCTGTCAGGCATGAACTTCGCCCAGCCGTGACCCATAGGCCACGCAACGATTTGAGCGATGAGAGGTCCAATACTGATGGATGGTTGGCGGAGAGAAAAGAGAGTATTCATCGAAGCTCCTACAACAACGAGAAGCATTCCTATAGTCCAAGCTCTCACTGTATTGCATGGAAGATCTTCGTCGAAGTTTCTTACCGCAGCCCGAACTTCAGGATAAGGGGAGTTTTCTTCTTCCTCATCGTCTGCATCTTCACTAAGCAAGGCTGCTTCATCACCTGACTCCCCTGAGCCCTTTCGTCGTGTCTCATACTCCTCAGGTAGATTTGGATCCATAAGCATCTCATATTCTGAACCTGCCTCATCGTCGTTGCGTGCTCCAGAGGATGCCCACTCATGGGGGCGATGCTTAAGGTTCTCATTTGAGGAGTCTTCAATCTCAAGAGACGTCGATAAGCGTCCACTGGGACCTCCTATACTTTGGCCGACGGCTTCGGCTGGTAATGCCGACCCTGACTTCTTGCTTTTTGGCATTGTGAGATCTGGTAGTTCTCACTTGGGGTTATCGGTATGTAGGTTGTAGTGAGAAAAAGTTCATCTGGCTAATCGGACGGTATAGTGACCCGATGTGCCACAGTTCAGTCTCAAATAAATCGCCCTTCTTTGTATGAGCGCACTTTATTGAGTGAAATCGATTGGCATCTTATTCAGTTTAGGACACGCAGTCTGAGATGATGGCGCCCTCAAGCCCTAGACATAGACCGGATGTGGTTGAAGAAGTCGAACTAGGACATGTATGCTTTCTTAATGTTTCATAAAGAAGGTTGTCTCTGAGTTGAATGTAAGAGTTTTTGAATGATTGAGAATCGAGGTGTCGCTGAAGTCGTGTCGTTATATGAGGGAGCTGTCCTTTTGTTTGTACCACTTTGTGGCGTCTATTGAGGCTCGGGTCTTCTCATATGCCTGTCAGCAAACAGTAATTGACAACAATTTAAGCTGTTGGTTCAGAACCTCAAACAATCAAAGGAAAAAATCATCCAAATAACCCGAAACAAGTAGAGATCTACTCAGGAGGATGTTGTTCAAGATAAGGTTCGGGAGGATTCCCGTTGAACTTATGAGAGGTACTTCAGACATGCCCCTGTATCAAGATGGCACTAAGCCTGACACGGAAATTCCACTTTGAATAATCCATCGATTTTATACAACATCTACTCCACCGTAATCATTTGAACCTGTATAAATTCACTTGACTTATATCAAGATTTTTGTTCAATTCAACTGTCACCTCTTAACTCTTGTTCTGGAACTACTACTCGGAATGGGTCTACAATGCGTCGCGTTGTAGTGACAGGCCTGGGAGCCACGACGCCCTTGGGAGTTGGCGTAAGGCGAACATGGACTCGTCTTATTAACAACGAATGCGGAATCGTCAGCGTTGCAGATCTCGAGCCTCAAGCACGATGGAAAGAGTTGACGAGCACAGTCTCTGGGTTAGTGCCCAGTGGAGATGGAGAAGGACGATGGAAGGCATCAGATTGGGTCAATGCAAATGAGCAAAGACGAATGTCCAAATTTACACAATATGCTATCGCAGCTAGCGATATGGCTCTCAGGGACTCGGGATGGGAGCCGAAGAGCGCAGAGCAGCAGGAGGCTACCGGTGTATGCATTGGAAGCGGTATTGGAAATCTAGACGAGATCTACGAGACCAGTTTAGTGCATCATCAAGACGTGAGAAGGCATTCAGTTATCGTCGAATCTATGCTAAATATGTGATAGGGCTACAAGAAGGTATCGCCGTTATTTGTTCCCAAAATTCTCATCAACATGGCCGCCGGTCATATAGCCATGAAATACGGCTTCCAGGGCCCCAACCACACAGCTACCACGGCTTGCACGACTGGTGCACACTCAATCGGAGATGCAGCACGATTTATCACTATGGGAGACGCCGATGTGATGATTGCAGGAGGTTCAGAATCATGTATCCATCCCTTGACTTTCGCTGGCTTCGGCAGAGCAAGATCTCTGTCCACAGCATATAACGATAATCCCGCAGCCAGCTGTCGTCCTTTCGATGCTGACCGCAATGGCTTCGTTGTTTCGGAAGGTGCTGCAGTGGTGGTTCTCGAAGAATTAGAGCATGCCAAAGCGCGGGGAGCTCATATATATGCTGAGATCAAGGGCTACGGCTGCAGTGGGGATGCTCACCATATGACAGCACCGCGGGAAGATGGCCATGGTGCATATCTTGCTATGAAGAAAGCACTCAAAAGTGCAGGCATCAAGCCTTCACAGGTCGACTATATCAACGCACACGCAACAGCAACTCATGTTGGCGATGTAGCGGAAACATCGGCCATCAGGCGGATCATGCTGGGCGAGGAGGGACATCACAAAGAGTCGGATGTCACAGTCAGCAGCACCAAGGGTGCAGTCGGACATTTGCTAGGTGCTGCTGGAGCTATTGAGGCCCTGTTTTGCATTCTAGCCATTCATGAGGTATGTAGCCTCCGCAGCAGCGAAGACGCATTTGCTGACTATTTCCAGGGAGTGGTACCAGCAACATTAAACCTACAGAAGCCAGACGTGGGAGCTGACTTTAATTTTGTGCCAAATGAAGCACAAGAGAAGACAGTTGGTGTAGCTGTGTCCAACAGCTTTGGCTTTGGTGGGACAAATAGTTCATTGGTATTTTCCAAATATCAATGATAAAAATGTAAAAATGTAAAATAGCTGTATATCATTGTATTTCTGCTGATCAAATTCCTCTTCCTTCTCAGTGATGGCTTGATTAATCTTCAGCACAGTAAATACAGTGCGTTTCGCACCTTATCACCGAGAGCCGAACCAGTCACAAAATTTCAGATTCAACTTACTAGCTTAGGATCCAAGGGTCCATGACGATAACACTCCAAGTGCCTCCCATTCCGCCTTGCCCAGGCCCTTCACGCCAAATCTCCCTATCGAACATACTCTCACAATGAGCATGGCCTGCGAGACATGTCGAACCCAGGCCCGGACCGTCCTCCGGGCTGCAATGCGAGCCGGCGCATCACGAGCCGCTGCACCGACGACGAGGAATTTCCTTCCGCCCGCTGCGATGGCTACTCGACGACAGTTTAGCAACACGAGCTCGAGGAGTCTTCTCAAGGGTATTGGAAAGTCTATGGCGGAGCCGTATCGTGTGTTGGGTGCGACGGAGCAGCTTTTCAAGGCTTCAGCGAAGGCGGCGGATTATCATATCACTGAGAAGGAGAGGAAGGATGATCAGGTGCAGCTTGCGGAGGATGGTGAAGAGATTGGACACTCTCTGAACCCTGATAGTCCCTGGCATCACAGTACGTCTTTCTTCAACCTCGAGGCGTCCGTCCCGTGCTAACTTTTACAGCCTTCAAACTCCCTCCAACCTTCAGCACCTGGTCCCACGTAACCATGCTTCACCTCTACCTAATCAACACCCGAATACGCTGCTTCGACCGCGAGGGTTTCCAAAACTGGCAGCACCAGCTCACAGACCACTTCTTCTTCGAGTGCGAGAAAAAGATGCACATCGACCACCACATCACATCGAGCGCCCTCCGCCAACGATACCTCAAGGACATTTTCGTTCAGTGGCGCGGTCTCCTGCTAGCATACGACGAGGGTCTTATCAAGGGTGATGCAGTGCTAGCAAGCGCCATTTGGCGAAATCTGTTCAAGGGTGCTGCTGATGCGGATCCCAGAGCTCTGCTTGCTATTGTAGGATGGATGAGATCGACATTGTTGCAGTTTGAGGCTGTGTCGGATAACAATCTTCCTGCCCAGTTACCGGCGATTATGGCTAAGCCGGTGGATGTGTTCTGGACGAGGTTGGAGAAGCAACTTGGTGGACAGCAGGAGGATAGTCTTCCTGCTAAGGAGGTGAAGGAGGAGCCTGTATCAACAGAGGAGGCAGCCAAGGTTTCAGCGAACTAAAGCGTGAGAGGAAATTTTGTACTATCAGATGGATGTATGTGTTACATGACAAAAAATAGAACGGGCGGGCTGTATGAATAGGGCACTGGATGAGGGTATTTTCTTAGGCATGACGGCTGTGTATGAATAATCCCCTGATGATGTTCCATCTCATATGCATATTCTTTTGTTGTGATTTCCTCTGTATGCTCAACTAATCACGCTTCTCCCACATTTGAAACTCATACTTTGTGCCAGCTTCTTCTTGACCACCCTCTTCAATCTCTTCACCTGTCCACTCCTGCAACTCCTCTCTAGATTTCCTCTCCCATGATCCATCCTTCAAGTCGACAGGGAAGAATGTATCACAGTCAAAATCACGCTCAATGCTCGTTAGAAGAATCCGTCGCGCTTCGGGCAATTTGAGAGCGGCGTCATAGATCTGCGCACCACCAATGACGAAAATACGGCTGACGTCGCTATGAGTGCGGGCATATTGAAGAGCAAGCTCAAGAGATTGAACTCTCACGGGTCCAGAGGGCTCAACTGTTTCGGGGAGCTTCGAGGGTGCGGAGCGGGATATGACAATGTTGAGTCGGTCTTTGAGAGGGCGGAATTTGGTGGGGATCGAGTCCCAGGTTTTGCGACCCATGATGACTGCGTTGATGGACGATGATGGGGCCTGATCGAGTTAATACAATGATTCTCATGGTCTTTTGGATATAGTGATAAGGCAGCGATGTATAGCTAGCAAGGTAAGGGCAATATATACCTGTGGTGGTACCCGAGTTGTGACGCGCGCAAAGTACTTCATCTCTTTGCGTAGACCTTGCCAGGGCATTGTTCCATGGAGGCCAATGCCCATGTTGCGCGTGGCCGCGACTATGAGATTCAATTCGATAGACTGCATTATTCAAGATGATGATGATGAATCTGTGAGGTTAGAGGTGGAGGTTTGATGAGGCTTAGGTTGAGTGGATTTGTGTGACGGTGATAGTACTAATGACACCTGAGACATGGCATGACGATATGTCACATCTTTACTGAACATATTTCATTTTGCTTATGCTTAATAGTCATAGTTCGCATTTCTTTCCATCTGCAATAAATTCTCTCTTCATTGTTGGTACAAATCCAGTTCCAGGCTTATATGACTTATTTCATTTAACCACCAAGCTTACCTATCAAGAGAGACTACCCTCACAACTTTGATGGAGGCAAAATCTCAATATCCTTGAAAGGAACTCCCAAAAACCGATAAATATGGTTGAACCTGCAAAGTTAGTTTCTCTTTTGCTTTTTACCACATTGGTGACTTACCTGTCACTTCCAAAGAAAGCCTCAGACTTGCCATCCTCGCGGGTCACAATCAACCAAGGAGCTCCAAAAGCACCCTTCTGAACCGCTTCACCGGTAAGATCTTTGACCCTGTCCTTCATACTCTCTCTTCCGTTCATAATCTTCTCAACATCTTCATCAGAGAACAACTTCTTGCCAGTTCCTCCATCAAGCTCATCCGTCGCTTCCTTGAGAGCTGCAATGAGCTTCTCGTCCTCAGCAAGGTTGACATGAGGAGGCAGCCAGATCTTGTGGAATAGATATCGAATTGCCGCGAGATAGGTAGACTCTGGGTAGTTCTCCTTGATAAAGTGCAGAGCGCGAAGCGGTGAGACGGTCTTTGCGATGGCAACAATATCAGGTGGCGAGCCTTGATAGGGGACCCCAAGACGCTCAGCAGCGCGGAATGAATCTCTGGCAAGGTATTTTCCCTTGGCCTTGAGCACCCATGGAGGACGGTTTCCTGATCTTTGTAAGATGAAGTTGTGGTAAGTGGTTCAATATAGTTACCTGATGTCTGCATAATGCCGCCCAAAAAGACAGGGATGAAACTATGAAAGTCAGCGAGTTGCTCAAAGATATGGATAGACTTGAACATACTTCACTTTAACTCCATGAGCAGCAAGTTTGCTCATGTTCTGTCTCAAGTCTGCATATCCAACATAACTGTAGAAAGACACTTCAACTTATTAGTCTTGTCGAAGAAATAGGGATATTAGATAACTTACCAATGTCTAGGTAACAGTCGACACGTCCACCCATCTTGGCAACAATGTTTCTCTTTGACGTTATTCAATGAGTAAATGACGAGATGTGTACTTGTAGGTACATTTCAAGACGGAGGATGCTTTATTAAACGGATCTCGGCCCCCGGTCGATGTGGGGTCTTCCCCGTGCCGAGGCTCGGGGAAGATGGAGGTTGGGGTGCATCAGACTTACACCTTTCAGGACATTTGATCTATAAGCAGATCGTCAGTATTTCAACAAGTTCCAAGTAATAAATCTTTTTATGAAACCAATATTCACAATGGTATCTAAGAAACCTGTTGCTCTTGTTGTAGGCGCATCTAGAGGCATCGGTCGTCAAGTCGCCGTCGACCTTGCCGGCAATGGCTATGCTGGTATGTCAAGCTTCACTACATTTATTGCACTTGTAAGGCTAACACTCAAAAGTTGTTGTTGCTGCAAAGACTATCAGCGATCCTTCCAATCTACCAGAGCCCTTTCCCCCAAATCCCAACTCTTCCGCTTCTACCATCACAACAGTTGCTCGCGAGATTACCTCTGAGGGAGGCGACGCTACTGCTATTCAGGTCGACGTCCGCTATCCTGAGAGTATAGATGCTCTTGTATCGAAGACTATCTCCGTAAGTTTACCAAACATGTCTTCGCCTTAAACCCCCTTGCTAACAATCCTAGACTTATGGCCGTCTAGATGTCCTCATCTACAACTCAGGCGCCATATTCTGGGCCCCTGTCTCATCAACCCCTGTAAAGCGCTTCCAGCTCATGCAACGCGTCAATCCAGAAGGACTCTACGCAACGGTTCAAGCTGTTCTTCCTCATCTCCCTTCTTCAGGCCGAATCGTTGTTGTCAGTCCACCTATCTACAGCCGTTTCTTCCGCGGCAAGACAGCATATGCCATGGGCAAGGTTGGTATGAGTGTTCTTACAAAGGGTCTTGCCATGGACTTTGAGCGTGAGGCGAAGAAGGATATGGCTATCACATCTATCTGGCCAGCTGTGGTATGTTGACTCTGACACCTTGAGTTTGCGTTGACAACTGACATATCAGGCTATCGAGTCAGCGGCTACAGAGAAGTTTACGGTCAAAAATCCAGAGGAAGCCAACGATTTACGAAAGGCAACCATCTTCTCCGACGCTATCCTCGAGATCCTCAAAGCTTCTCCAAGCGTCGTGAACGGCGAACTCCTCCTCGACGAAGATTTCCTTCGCGAACACGCAGGAATAGCCGACTTTTCTAAGTACAATGTTATTCCAGGTGCCTCACCACGGAGAATCATGCCACAAAGTCTCCCAGACTTGACTGTAGCAGAGCAAGCAGACGAGGGCAAACGCTACGACAGCACAAAGGATAAATCCAAGCTATAAGATTATTGAAGATCGCTATTTTTTCAGTATATGTAGGGAAAAAGAGACCGTTGTACAGGTAGCTAATAGTACGGAAAAAATGAACCTGCGCAGCCATGATATCCTCTAGAACACACATCTAATACCTCCTTGGCCATGGAAGCTGCGTTCACCAAACTCCTGGACATGATTACAAACGTACACCCGACTCTTTGAAACCCCTCCTTTCCATTCCTTCCCTTGCCATTTTACAAAAACACGTATCTCCTGAGATCCTATGGTGCGCCAGCCATCAATAGGGGACTTGACTACCTGGTCCCACTCCTTGCATGCCATCAATGTCCTCCATGGTCTTGTTGAACACGTCCAGGATTTGGTCAATAACTCTGCTGCGGTTCCACTCATTTCTTGTGCGCCATATGGCGTCCATGAGCTCACGGTTGATTTGTTCCAGTTGCTCAATAGTACAGCCGGTTGTCATGTCAGTTACGTTCTGAAGGAATCCTTCTATCTCGCCTGCAGCAAAGGGTTGAGAAGCGGAGGTGGATGAGCCTGAGTTGCGAACCGACTGGTGTTCGTCAGAAGTCTGATCATTGAGAATGTTGGCCATTCCGCCCACGCTCTGAGCCTTGAAACCTGATGATCGCTGCGAAGGTGGACTACCAGAAATACCCGATCCTTGCACAAGGTTACCGCCTGCCGCAGCAGCCTGAGCTTGAGAGTGCAACCAAGAGTCTTCTCCAGAAGTGTTGTGCCCAGCTACGAGCAGCGTGTCTGGGATGTCGACCTGGCTATCATCCTCAACACCTCGGTTCTCAGCGTGGCCACCATTTGTCATTTGACTAAAGTTTGACGAATGATGAGTCGAGGGGTCTGAGGTTTTGGTTGTTGAAGCCTCGTTGATAACAGCTGATGGTGAAACTCCTGGAGGAAGAGTAGTCACTACTGACTTCTGTGAGATCTGGGTCATGCCAGTATGAGCCACGCTGGGATCATGAGACTTAGGCGGAGGTCCCATGTCAGACATGGCCTGCGTATCATCGTGGACACCACTCATCTGGACATCCTCTCCCAATGGGTGAGTGAGGCCATTACTCAAGGGGTGTGACGAATCCTGGCCAGAGGTGCCATGACCATTCGAAAGTGGGCTTCTAACTTGGAACCTGGCAGTCGTCCTCGATCCTGGCACGGCTTCTCCCAGAGTAACAGGGCCCTGAGAATCACTGTCATTACCGCCCAGATCAGATTGCACACGATCTACGAGAGACTGCATAGCTTTTCGCTTTCTCTCCTTCTCGGTAGCATCCTTGGCGCGCTGAACTTGGCGTCTGTATAGCGCTTCCCAGTCAACTTGAGAGGTTTGGTTTTCAATACTAGCGACGTCGACCTCGACGTTGCTGAGAAGTTCATTGGCCTTGAGGGTTCGCTCCTTATCTCCAATATTTTTGGCGTCTTTTGCAAGAGCCTTGATATCGAAGAGAAAGTCCTTAGGGCGGGCATAGAAGCCATTTGACAAGCGCTCTTCGATGGTGGTTGTCTCGAGATTATAATAACACTTCCCAGTTGCGGTATCTCTGAGAACGTCATTGTCGTACTTGTCCTTGACGATCTCATATGGTCGAACATGTCCAGCTTCAAGGTCCGGACGCACATAATTGGGGTCTGACTCAGCGAAGAGATAGTCGATCTGAGTTTGAGGAATAACAGGCTGTCTAAACTTCTTGTACTTTCGGTTGATCTGGTCCATAATGGGCTGAAGCTGGATCTTGAGAGCATTGAGAAGCTGGTGGTCTTTCTTCTGTGCAGCCTTCATATCGGCCTTGGTAGGGGGCGGGGGTTCAATTGGAGGTGCCACGGGAAGCTCCTCGAGAACCCTCTTCTTGCGATTTTCAGGGTCGGGGAACTCGCGGGGTTTCTTCTTAGCATATTGCATCGTTGTGCTGAAATATTCCATTCGAGAGTGCTACAAAGGTTAGCATAAGAATCTCATCTCACATAAGTACTACTTACCAGATCAGGCTTCTCAATTTTCATTTGGTTCTTCTTTGAGAATCCAAAAAAGTCGCGGAAGAGTTCACTGGGAAGCTCTTCTCTATCACCCTCTGCTGTCGCGAGAAGAAGAACTGGATCTGTAGGAGGAATAGATCGTAACATAGTCTTGAAAGTTGTAAGAGCAAGAGTGTTGTGTAGTGCCATATACCAAGCTTCGATGTTAGGAATATAAATAACGCTAGGTTTGTGTCGTCTAACTTCCGTAAAGAGGCCGACAATGACCTGCTCCATAGCCTGCAGATGTTAGTTTGTAGTTGCTGCTGTGAGTGCACAAACTTACCCTTCCATCGCCCAAGATGCTGGGAAGGTCAAAATTCTGAACATGAACACCCTCAAAATGGTGAAGAATGGCAGAAGCAACGTAACTCTGGCCCATGCCGCTAACACCATATATGATGAAGCGAGGGCGGAACACTCTGGATCGCTCAAACTCTTGGTGCATAGTTTCTCTGCCAAAGCCATGATCATCGTCATCGAACTGCTCGTACATGGCTTCTTGAAGAGCCGTCATCTTCTTCCTACGAGGTAACAGCTCATCAAGGGCAGTCTTGGCTTCGTTAAACTGTTTGCGTAGCAGCGGCTCTATCGATTTGGGAAGTGGCTTAGCACCAGATGTAGCTGATCGCTCAGAGGAGGGAATAAGCTTCTTGATGGACAGCATAAAGTCAGTGGCATGAACGCCGATCTTCTCGGGGTCGACCACAAGTTTTTCCTTGGAGGCGTAGATTTGAGGATAGGTTCGTTGAATAGCATTCAGAGCTGCTTCTGTACAGAGAGCTCGTAAATCAGCACCACCATAGCCCTTTGTGTTCTCGGCTAGGGAGTCTTTGAACTTCTCTGATAGTCCCCAGTCTGCTGTATGAATGTTGAGAATTGACTTTCGCCCTTCGATATCAGGCAAGGGGAAGTAAAACTCTCGGTCGAATCGACCAGGTCGGCGAAGAGCGGGGTCAATGTTGTCAGGTCGGTTGGTGGCTCCAATAACAATGACTTGGCCACGACCGTCCATGCCATCCATCAATGCCAACAGGGTTGAGACAATGGAGGCATGAATCTGTTCCTGCTTGCTGGAACGAACTGGCGCAAGACCGTCAATCTCATCGAAGAAAATGATACTGGGCTGAGTTCTGCGCGCTTCCTCGAAGAGCAATCGAAGCTGTTTCTCGGCTTCACCCACCCACTTGCTCAGGGCATCGGCACCCTTGCGCATGTAGAATGAGATCTTGCGACCGCCAGAGCCGACCGAGTTGGCCAGAGCACGAGCAAGCAGTGTTTTACCTGTTCCAGGAGGGCCATGAAACAAAACACCACGAGGTGGAGTGACGTGGAATCGCGTGAAAAGCTCGGGATAGAGCAAGGGAAGTTGCACCATTTCTTTCAACTGGTCGATATGTCCTTGGAGACCACCAACCTTGCTGAAGTCAACGTTCAGGTCAACACCAAGAGGGTCAGCATCCGCAAGGGCTTTCCGGTCCTTAATCTTGCCAACGTTGGGAGCGCCAGCATCGGGGTTTAGACCAGGGACACCAGGAAGAAGCCCACCGTGAGTCGCAGTTGTCGGTGTCATACCAACATTACCAGCTACACTAGAGCGATGCACCATCTCATCGTCACTGCTGTCTGAATCGACCCCGCCAGCTGCACCAGTACCCCAAGGCCCATTAAGAAGGGATCCGGCTCCACCGCCGCCTCCGAAGGGTCCAAATGTGGTGTTGAGGCTGCGCTCCCAACCTTGGCTGGCACCGCCACGTCCTCGGCGCGAGCGCGATTGTGTAGCAGGAGCCTCAACCTCTTCCTCTTCAATATTAGCCGAGGTGAGAGGAGGCATGTAATAATTCACGCGTGTTCTCGCTCGCCGAGTGCTTTCCTGGTAAACTATGGGCGATTCTTTCCTTGGGCGACGGCGACGAGAGCGCGAGTCCTGCCTAAGTTCTCGGGCCTCTTCATTCAGCTCGTCCAAGTCAAATTCGGGTTCCTCGTCTCCAGAGTCTGCACCACGACGGGATCTGGCAGGCTGGGAGCGTCGGCCGCGAGGAACCGGGCTATCAACGTCGTCATCATCTTGAGGTAGGGGCTTTTCTGCACCGGAGCCCTCTGCATCGTCAGATTCGTCGCCCGGTTCGAAGTCGCTGCTGACTTCTTGAGACTTTTTGCTCGATTTGCGGGTTAGTCGACGCGGCTTTCTAGGTCCAGCGTCCGATTCAGCTTCTTCCGGTGCTACAGAGGCGTTGGCGCGGGACCCACGGGTTCGGCGAGTGACAGGTACATCATCCTCATCCTCATCCTCCTCCACCGTCTGCACAGGCGCATCTTCTCCAGGTGCATCCTGATCAGCAGCATCTAGCATTTCTTGATCAGCCACCTCTTTCTTTTCGAGCTCTTCAGGATCTTGAGATAATTCATCGGGCTGGTCGGCTTCTCTCACTTCCTTAAAGCTGCTTTCCTGTGTAGCCTCTTGAATCGTCTCGGGGGCTTTCTTGAGACCCTTAAACCCACGAGTAGCTCTCGTGCTCCGAGCGAGTGTCTCAGGGCTTCTACTTCGCGAATCGCGTGACGGGACGGCGTGTTTTCCAGAATTGGAAAGTTCGAGGAACTCTTCAGCTTCCTCTGTATGAGCCCGAGTAGTCCTACGAGGCGCAGGCAACTTGGTGTTGGTAAGTTTCAGCTTGACAACCCTGGATCTAGTTGACCTGGCAGGCTCCTCTACTGGCTCGCCTTCAGCGTCGTCTTCTTTGACGTCTTCGTCTTCGTCAACTTTGATATCCTCGTCACCTGGCTTATCAGATTCATCGCCAGTAGCTGATGCTTCTTCTTCGCTACTTTCTGCGTAGTTGCGGGGCTGCGTGGCAGCCTTTCTGGCGCGACGACCAGCGGCATTCACAGGAGCAGCAGCATCATCCTCTTCCTCGTCATCGTCATCGAGAAAATCTTCCTCGTTGCTATCGGAGACTTCATCCTCGTCATCATCGATGTCCGATCCCCCGTAACCGTTTCTGCGTCGGCGGCTGGGTTTTCCGCTGCGTGAACGGGAGTGCTTCTTTGTGCTTTTTCGGGGTGGTCCAGCTTCTGAAGGGTCGAAATTCTCGTCTTCGGGATCGGACTGGTTGGGATCAAAGTCCTCGAGGACCCTTTTGCGTTTGCTAACCATGGTTGATACGTTGTTTGCGCGTAAATATGATGGAACGTTATCGGCGACGGGTATAATTGAACTTCGCGGTTCTGTACACAAAGGGAGGTCAACCAAGGGATGCCCACACGGTCGCAACAGTCACAGCCATAAGCGCGGACTTTGTATTACATTCATCGAATCGTCGCGTTCCTTTCGATGAATTTTTGGGGGAAAACTCACCTTTATGCGCGTCTAGATATGATTTCACGTCAAAGCATGCATGGGCGCGGCCTGGGTCGCGGTTGAGCTTGTGGCGCTCAAGATCGGCGCAAAGACATCAAGTAGAAAATAAGCCAAACAACCAACCCGCGCAATGTCGATGATTGAACTGGCTGATGCTGATGGTATATTCGAAGCAAACGCGGTCAAAATAGGAGATGGAATTTGGGGGTTTGCTGCGTGAAGTGAAGGTTTAGTTACGGATACCAAACGACAGGTTAGCAATGTAGACCCACTTTCATTCAGGCAGTTGTGGTTCCAGTTTCTGATTGGTGGGTCACCGCCAATTTCAATGTGATCGCAGTTTAATTGTAGCTTGATCTACGAAGCTCTCATGGCGAAAACAAAACGACGAATTCTCAACATGACCTGTTTAATGGCTCGGGGGACGTTTTTATTATTGACAAGGTCGATTTCGGCCTCAAATTCGTTTTCCTCGCATTTTTGACCTTGCCCAAGCCCATCTGCACTTTCAATTCTTGATCATATTTTTCAACATGCTCACATATAAATTCGATCTATCCCAGCTCGTCCCCGGTAGTCAGCTTGATTTAAAGCTCGGTATCGTTGTAGGGCTGAAGACGTTGACAGCATGGTGCATGCGCATTACCCCAGAAAGTTTATGCCTTACGATTTAGGCAGTCCTGCACAATAGGGATCTCACGAACCACACAATGGATCACGCACAGGACAATCATGGGTATCCCCCTTTAGCTTTCCTTTAAATACGACGGGCCATAGCCCAAACAGATGACAGAGAATAAATAGAAACTACCCGTGAAACAGGAGATGAGGGGATTGTAAGAAACGTTAAGCCTTATCTATTGGACACTGCGTATTACCAACACGGTCTAGATCTCTGCTCGGCTGCTGAACCGACCTACCCTAGTGTTTCCAGGACTATAACGGGAATAGTCACATTTTATCGTAATATTCCCGGACCCTGAATACCCTCACAGTCGGATACTCGGCCAAACATTACGCGGCCCAGGTCTTGGCTCATAATCGCCAAGACTGAGCCACGCAATGCGAAGATCGTTCCGAATGCGAAGATCTTCACGATTCGTGAAACGGAAAACACGGCCTGATCAGACTTTTTTTTTCTTGTTATACATCACACCAATTTTAGAAACAGGTTTTAACAGATTTTGTAAATGTATCGAATTCATGGACTCATTGTAATAGGTATTGTTACACATAATGGTATCATGTCTCTTGTGGTACAGTCATTCCCACCCCGACTTTTAAAACAGTTTCCCTAATTGCGCCTGGTTGGATAGAGAATTGTTTTTAACCATACCAAAGACGCCACGCTTCCCAATGAATGAGAGTGTCCGTCCCGTACCAGCCAGTGACGATGAGTGAGTGTGAAACAGCCAGCATAAGGTGTTGTGTTGCTTTGGCGTGATTAGGCGGTCATGCTATAGTGATGCTGCAGGGCAGGGTTTCTTTGTTCTTGTTCGTATGTGCTCGTACAGCTGACACTTCAATCCTTGCCCAACATCGCCCGGGCGAGATCAGCCAGAGAAGGGCCGCCAAAGAGGAACTGGCTTGAATGGCGGCCACAATAGGTAACGTTGTTTACTGGCTGAGGTGCGGCCTTGAACCAAGAGCGGGAAGCTTTGGTTGTGGAAGATGCCGTAGACTGGGTCGAGAACTCGCTGGAGTAGGAGTTTGTTCGTTGCTGAAATAGCTTTGTTAGTGGGGTCCAGGCCAGTTCTGAGTTCAGTGTCACATACCTTAGACTCCATGAGGGGAATTGGCTCAGTGCTTCGTCCGCGCTGCTCCTCAGAAGAGGTTCTGGTGCGAGAAGATCCGAAAGCCATTGTGATATTTGTAAAGTTGAACAGTTGTATGTGGTGTATAGTTGAAGTGATTTGCTCGACTGTCTTAGTCTGCTGGGTATCGTAAATGTATCGTCTATTAACCTTCAAGGTAGTTGTGTTCAAGGCACTCCTGGTGCAATCTAAAAGATGTTCAAGCTGAGTTTGTTTGTTTATGAAGGAACTGATTGATGATGATAAGAATAAGATAGAATCATCAAAGGGGGAAGACTCCCTTAAATAAAAGTTCCTGTCAACAATGCTTCTGCGGCTGATCTACCCCAAGCTGTACCAAGACACGCCAACCCTAGTTGCTACGTAGCAGATGCCGCCCTATGGAGCGACGCTAAAAATGCCTGTAGTCAGACGAAGGCTTGGCTAGCTTGGCTGTTCTTGGGTATGACGTGCCGGTTTGGATAGCTTATGGATTCCGCGGGGTCCAATTGAAGATACGATGCGACCTTGTGGCTCACCTTTGACACTGATCGCCGTGCAGGTAGCCATTCATGTGTTAACAAGGAGTCAGTGCTGAGTACGAGTGATACGGTAAATATTACGATAGGGTCAATCGGAAAGTGGCATGATAAGGGAGTCAGACACTGCCGTGATACAATAGTCTGCATTTATTATGATGAGCAGTAAATAACTCAATCGTAGCCAAGTCTCTTACTTTTGTCTATCCCTTAGTCCCCCTTATCTCTTCTCCCCTCACTTCCCATCCAGCGGAATTCCAGTGACAACATGTGGAGCACACGGACGGCACTGGTCGGCCGAGATGCTGACATAACCCCGGACCGTCATCCGCCGGGTGGTGACCGGTTTCCCCATAATCGGAAGCACCGAAGCATCGGCACCGTTTATCCTGCCCGCCAAGAGAGAAAACAAGAACATCGTGACCACAGCTCCACCAAAACCCCATTTCCAGAAGCTCGCTAGAAGGATTTCTATGCATGTAAGATTGACGGTCTTGGTAATGATTCGCCCATCCGTATCAGATAATGTCGAGATAAGATCATCGTCTGTCACACCGAACCCGGGCGTTCTCTCAGCCTTGGGCCAAGAGAACAATCTATTGCTTGGCGGGGGACTTCCCATGTCTCCGATGCAACCTCATTCTGGCTTGGTGAAGTCATGGGGAATTATCATGAGATACGCGGGTCGGGATCTCGTTGGACAATTGAATATTGGCATTTTTAGCGTATGCATTATTCTGCTGTCTGATGGCTTCTGGGATAGATTGTCGTAGCAAGCAATTCAGGGATCCACGTCAGATGTTTAATCGTAAAAGCAAGCCTTCAGATCTGCACATTGGCTGATTGGATGCACACGTACGCATTTGTTAGCAACTTCACCTGATGCCAGCCTTACTATCGTCAAAAGTGGCTTGCCCCAAGCTCAATTTCGTCAAATAAACTCAACTATTCTACGAACCTTTGTGTCGGTACGCAACAAGCAACCATGAGTCCAGCTGCTCAAAATAGCTATGCGAGAACTCTCTCTAACCGAGAAATAGTGTAGGAACGTTGCATCGCGGCGTCTTCCACTACTGAGAACCTTAAACAAAAGACACGGTCTAGAGCGTAGGGCAGACTGACGAGCTGCAGCCACATAAGCCCAAGCTCTTATTTTTAGTGAAACTATTGTAAGGGATGACGATGTGGTCTTGAGCTGAAAGCCACAGTTGCAAGTGTCAAACGGCACTTTCCAGCGAGGAGGTTATGATCCGATTGACCTTGCTTTATCGGGTTGGTGTCTTTTAATTGACGTGTTCTAGACCCTGCGATGACTCTTCTCAGGGGACCAAGCAGCGAGGAGCTCTTAGACCGTTGCATCGTCTGCTCTAACGGCAACGCCGCAATTACGTCGACAGGTTGCATCTCACAATGGTAGCATCTGCTTCGTAGCTAAAGAAACTCTCACCAATCTCTACCAAGAAGTGTTCGTCATCTTGGTAACATCTTCTTTGGAACCAAGTTGCCGCTTGATCCTTGGCCATCATCTTTTATTGACAAAATTTTGCCTTTTGGAGTATTCACGGCAATTTTGAGATCAAGGTTTCGGCCCATGATCCATCCCGACTTCGTACCTGCCTATATCAGCCCTATTTTGCGTGCTGGGGAGTCTCAGACCTTCGGGACGTGCTGAAAGGTGGATATTACGGCCCATCTAGCTTGATCTCGGTGCTTCTGTTGTATGGTTTTCCTTTCTCTTTGTCATTAAGTGGGATAGCTAGTTCTCTCTTCACTGAAGAGATGAGCAGGCCTCATCTGAGTATCACCGAGGGAAACTTCCGTGAGGTAAGTATCACAATTGTTACTATCAGCTTTATATTCGGATCTAATATAGTATTGCCTTGGCCAATGCTAGTGTCTTGTGAAGTCTTTGCTCGAACTAGATGAGTGGAGGTATGTCATGACCTAAACTCATAACTGATGGAACTTATGGACGAAAGAGTCACTGCTCAACAATACCCTTTTGACTGAAGTTACTGCATACTTGACCTTAGCGTATTACTGGTGCTGAAGCCGGACCGAAAGTCTGGATGGTTGTGGGTAAATACTTGGTGGTAAATCGACTGGCCAAGGCCAAGTCACTACTTGCGTTATACTCTGGCGAGTTCTACCGGCTGAACCAAATCAGTTTGCTGGTATTCATTAGAGAATATACCACTCTATTGAATGCCCGTTACTGAGCTACGTGAGACTCGCAATAATAGAAGTACCTAGTCTATCCGAACATTTCCTTGAAACCTTATGGAGAAGCCTGATATCGAACCAGTGAGCGGCCCAGTTGACATACATTTCTAGGTCGCTTAAAGTTAATAGGCCAACTAAGTTTGAATTGAGATATGACAGAGCTGATAAGATTTGTTATTGGTTACTCCAGCTGCTCACCTTTCGAGCCTGTCGTTACACAACGCTCCGGAAGTGGACCTAAACCTGCACCTTGAGAAAGGGGGACCGTATTCAAATACAGACCGCCTGAGATGCCTGGGATGCATGTCATTGGCGGTGGATAAGAATGTCTTTTTGTAGACAGAATGACATTATCTATATGCAAGTGTTTGTACCAATTTACATGTGATCAACCATGCAATCGATGCGACGTCGTCGTATAATTCGCACGTATTGACCAGAAGCAGCGTGACATGTGAATACGCCCTGTGCAAATTCTTTTTGATTGTGGATTTGACACAAAGATACTATTAGAGTTTTAATTCATGGCATGAGCAGTCGAAATGTATTGCAACCATGGATTCTGGCAATTTGTAGAGCTGAAGCAGACCAAACTGCTGACATCCGCGTCTTGACACAAAAAGAAAATCTCTAGTTCCTGGAACAATAAGTTTTAAATAAATAAAAATCGTATTTTATTTACAAGATGGAGAAATTCTGTCTTTCTTCAACTGATGGCGACTTTACTAAGATGGGAAGACTGTATCGGGGTAATGAGGGAAGGGAGCGCACTCGTAAATAAGACGAGTGACATTGGTATCGACTTTGGCTATCCAAAATTTCCGTTCCAGAAAAGACTTGCTATCAAGTAAACACTGCCTTGATCTTATATTTGTCACTAATCATAGCTGCTATAGTTCGTACGAAAGCCAGTAACTCTTGATGAATATTGAACGGTAGGATTGTACTACTTGCTACACTGTTTCTTCTATAACTCGTACAGATTTTATCAAACATTGGGGTACAACGAGACCCTCATCGGCCTGAGTTAGTTCCCTACCGCAACACAATACATTGCTGTACACCCGGACAGTAACAACGTACTCGTTCTCCCTGTCTCTTCGTTCGTAGCTTCTTTCTATTCGAAACCCCTTACCGAACCAAACTGGGCTTACACTTAGATAAGATCACGTTTATTAACTTTCTTAGATGTGGGTATTCCTTTTTGGGAGACCTAGGTCTTATCACCGCGCGTCTACAGGTTCTTTGTTGAGTATGGGCGACCTCGAGGGGTCTATTTATTCCCAAAGGTACCACTTTCAAAGTCACATTTATCATACACATGAGGCATCTATTCAGTGGATAAATATCACTACAGACACCCAGAACTTCAGGTGACTTTTAATGATCTTCATATCTGCCAAGTCTCATAGACAACTGTTTGATAGAGTCTCAGCAGTGGTTAGGTTCAAGCTTTAAATTCACCATAATGAGCTCCACTCATGTAATGACTCAAGACAACTCTTACATACCTTATAGCTTTAACTTGCTAGCAATCAAGAATTGGGATCCAGGCACTCCAATAGCAGCCACAGAAGTACCAATAAGAATATGGTCTCTGGGCAGACCGTCAAGTCTCAATGACCTTAATCGATAAAGTTACTTTCAGCTACATCATCTCAGGTAACTAATCAAGATGAATACTTCTTGCATCCGAAAGACATAAAAGCATAAGGGAATTGACCATCATGATGTCAATAAGTAGAAGGGGAAGAACACACTTATCGACCTGGCTCAATAGATTCGATTCTGATGTAAAGATGTGTGAACATTTGGGTATCAATTGACTTACGACAAACTCCTCAGTATACCAATAAATAGCATCTACCTCCAATACCAAGCATCATATCGGGAGACCTTCCCAATCATTAAACATGCTCCAACTCCTTTCATCATCCCAAAGGCTACCATCTACCCTAAGCTGCAGACTGAACAACTCCTGTAGGCTGAGTGTCATCATCCTTAGGTTTAGGGTATGTCTTCTTGTCAATAGCAGCATATCCTTGTGAGAACTTATCCAGCATGCTGGCAATCCATCTCTGTTCTTGCCCAGTAGCGAATTCATACACGATCCGTATGGCGAAGCCAATTCGATATGGCCCCATGGTGCCTCGTCCCACAGACTCTACCGACCGCAATATCTGTTCCACGAAATACCGGATGGATATCTCCGAGTTAGCTCGCGGTGTCCCGCACTCGACCAGTGTCTCTTCTAGAATGAGCATACTTGCCCAGTACCCCATGAGTAACGACCCGGCCGCTGCCGACTTATGTTCCAGCACTGTCTCGAACAACGAATTTGCCGGGTCGGTTGGCAGAGCCTCGACCGGCCTTGGAAACTCAAGCGCGTTGAAATCGTCGAACCATCGCGCCAATCTCGCATGTTCCACGGTGGCTAGGTGGGCCAAGGCGGAGATTTTGTCAGGCTCGACAAATATGCCAGCCTTGTTAGCTTCTCTCAGAAGATAAGCCCCATGCAAAATAGGCGTGAGCTGGGCCAGGTTTGCAAGGAAGCCATCACCGATGCGGATGTGCTCAATTGGGGCGTCAGGAGCATAGATGAGACGTCTACCGCCATCAGACGTGACATGCCTCCATGCTGGCCTCGACAGGAACAATTGGTCCTTTCCGGGATAGAACATGTCGCCTACAGTCTGGCATGGGACCGTGTTAGTGGTGACCCCGCTAGGGTAACATTGTCAAAGCCGTTGCAAAGGGACGAATGATCCACCCAAGGTGAAGGGCTAGGGTGAGAAGTCCACTTGGACTGGATGGTGATATGTGAGATGCTATATCGCGCCATCTCAATGCGGCAATGCAGAGTAACCCTGCCGGTGACGAAACAGAGACAGGATCGAACGCATTGTGCTCCCGAGCCAGCGATTGGTTCTTATTGAGAGACACTCGCAAGGCTCCGTCACTTGACCTGGAGATAATGCGAGTTCCTGATCCTTTGCCTTGTTCCTGTAGTCAAGGAGAAACGTGGGACATACAAGAATGCCACGACATGAGAGCAGCATAGCTGCGTCCCAGCCTTCAGCATGAGCTGCTGGTCCTCGCTGCTCCATCAAGGTTCCAATGCCTTTGGCATGTTGGATCCAAGTATCGGGAACCACTGTCCCAGCAAACAGCTATAGGATGTTAGCTTTGAACAAGGAACAGTGGTAGCAGGAGTACCTCAAAGTAACATAAGAGTATAGCAGCGCACAGGGTCTCAGATGCCTTCCACTCTGAGGAATGTTGCAGAGCGGCCTGTAACTCATTGAGTGCCAAGCCATATATAGTTCTGCTTTTGGCGACCAGGTCGGCATTGGAGTTTGCTTTGCCAGTAAGTTGGAGAGCAAAGGAGCAGATAGCCCCGTCGAGCAGAGCCCGCTTTCCTAGGCGATCAATGTTCAACCATGACAAGAGTATAAACACATCGGTAGACCGAGTGTAGTTAGTGGATGACTCTATCATGTTAAGTAGCAGTGGCCCTCTTGGCAACTCCAGCCTCAGCAGGGTTGGTGAGGGCTTAACCAGAGACCATGTTTCTGAGTCTGATGTAGCGATATCAGAGCCCGTTGTACTGGAAGAGGAACTAGTCGACACTTCTTCGCCTTCGCGTTTGCCCTGTCGCCTGCCGCGTTGACGAATCTGATGCTTCTCATCGACAAACTTTAGGCCACGAGAATAACCTGGACACTCTGCTCCATATTTGATGCAGTTGCCGCAGGACGGCTTAAGAGTATCACATTTGACCTTCCTGGTTCTGCAAAGTCGGCATCCAGTGCTCCTCGGAACACCAACCATGACAAGGTTAATCAAGGGCTCACCGCCGGTTCTTAACTAATCATCTGTGCCGCTATCGGGTCGGATCAGATCGACACCCAGCGGTTTGACTTCCCGAAGTGGCCGGCGACGTTGAGGGGATTGTGATGAATATGCTTGTGCTGGCGGGGAGGAGAGATGATTTGCGCTGTCGGATCGGCCCTTTAGAGAGCATCCGTCTTCGCGGGGTTTCTATGTCGTGTTATTATTCTTCGGAGGCAGTATGTGCTATTGTAGAGTTTAAGTTAAACAAGGAATCCAGCGCTACCTCTTCCTCCATATGGAAATCAGCCCCAGAACGGTTACCACGCCTCTCGCAAATCCGACAACGCGGATCACGCACAGTACTGCTACCTTCAGAGGATTATGTAGTATCGACGTCTAGTCTATTCGGCCTGTCACCAATGGGTTTGTTCAAAAATCTGGAGAAACTGTGATCGAATTCCACCAGGACCACTTTACAAGCTGGCCCGAGGCTTGATGGTGTTGCATTCAATCAATCTTTCTTGTCGATGTCGATCATTTGATGTATCTGTAACATTTCGTCGGTGTTCTCCTCAGAAAGCTCAGTTAGGACAACTTCACCGAAATTGAATAATACACAACGGCCAACCAGCCCACAGGCAGGACTACAGCATTCTCCGGCAATTAGCTGCGGGAATTACTGTACTGGGACGACGCTAGGAGGTTTTCAGAGCCCCCGCGTTATATCCAGCTCGTCCTGAGAACTGAAATGAATTCATACCCCTGTGTAATCTATCTGAACATAGGGGGACGGCCCAAATCTCAATCTCAACACAGTTGGCCGCTGGGGCCCATGAGCTGAGACGCTGTTACATGCGCCCAGTAATTAAATCGTGGATGATGAGAGATTGATCTGCATCACCCAAGCAGTTTCGCTTCTCTTTGGAGTACCGAAGAACGGTTCGCATATTAGCCTGTGCGTGCGCATTGGATTGCGTATATCGAGCTAGAGACGCCGAATGAGGAGACCAGCACTTTAATGAGTTTTAGATTAATGCAATGGCCAAGCTAATTGTCTTAATTGTTGGTCGAACCCCGAATCTAGTCGGTCCAGACGGGCCAAAGGGTTGTTGAACGGCAAAGGCGGGAGTTTTTGGATGGTTAACTGAGTTGAGGCTGATTGAAAAAAGTAAACATCCGCGCGAGCCAGAGCTAGGACCTTACGGTGGCAAACTGAGCAATATATTTAGTATAAACTCTGCTTTGGAGAACATGCTCAGTTTCTCCTACAGGTAACTGGTCGTGAGGCTCAAAGCAGTGTTGTAATGGGATGTGTACACCAACCTCGGCAGCCAAGACCTCAACAACACGCATTTGGTCTGTTGCAGAGCCGAGATTTGAGTTCATCTCAGTTCTTTCTGTCCATGGTCAATGGCGATCTAGATAGCATGACTTGCTTCTGCTCCACGAGGCGCAGTTTCTATAGCATGGTTCAATATACAGCAATGAGCATGATGAAGCAATCTAAAATATCGCCAGAACTTAATGTGCCTGTCTCAGAATGTCAATTGAGACCCCAGCCTGTGAGCTTGTTTCAACCCTGGAAGTGTCCAGGATGTCTCCTCCATCGTCATTCTTTACCTACCCCAGACCCGTAAATTGAGCAAGACAAAGGCTGGTATGTAAGTGACGGTGTTTTGTCGGTGAAGACATCCATGATCAGGTTTCTCATCAATAATAGTCTCTCTGTTGAAGTTTTGTGTTTTCGGTATTCATTCCCTTTCTGCAACAAGATGAACATGCTAGAAACCTGATATTTCCAAGTTCTAACGGGACTTTCCAACTATCGCTAGCATTGAGTATTCTGTACACATCCATGAAGCAAAAATACACGCACAATTGGGTTCTTCAGTGGGTACGCGATTGACGACCTTCGGACCCATTCTAAAAATACGCGGATATCTATTCTTACTTGGAAGAGGCGAGGAGTGCCATATCATGTTGTCATGGAAAATTCCAGTACAATGCATGAGCTGTTGTTTTGATATAGAAATAGGAGAAGCAAAGCCAAGGAAAATACCTATGATCTGTAAGGGTCACCAATTGTGGTGAGCTGAAGAGATTTTATGGTAGCAAGAGTCAAGCATAGGAATGTCTCTCAGGGTCAAAGTGGTAGAAGATGGTGTCGTCTTGTAAAACATGTCTTGTCAAATCCCCTCCTATCAGAAGTCGAGGGCTCGTTTACGATTTCATTGTGCATGAGTTTGGCCTCTTTTTTGCTTCGAGATCCACTGGACTCGCGTCTTCGGCCCATGGGGGCTCTTTTTGAGTGTCCCACTGTGGCTGTTGAAAGTACTGGACCAGTTGGACTTACCGGATGTCTTGTGTCAGATCCCACGCATACTGCAGAAGCTACTGCAGACTGCAAGCCATGAGACGCTTCGCTCTGCCGACATCGAGCCAACGGCCTCGGCCAAAGGAATCCCAGGGCTGCGGGTACATGAGAAGAATGATTGCGGCTGAAGGAATAATTGGTGTTTTCGTATCGTGCCGGGCGAACAATAAGAGTTGCAGAAAGTTGACCGACTTGAAAGAGGTTCAGCAGCTGAGTGACTCACACACATCTCGACTGGGTAGTCTTGTTTACAGGAATATTGAGATATTTGTTCCTTCTTGGAAGCGGCGAGTCATTGTCACCTTGATTACACATATGTTAATATCGCCAGAATAGCTTCAAGAGCTGTTGGTTATGTTAAACAAACACAACGCCAAGCAATACCAGACTGTTTCGCTCGATCTAACGTTAGCCGCTATCAATTGTCTGGCTCAAAAGTCACAACCTGAAAGAAACAGCCGAAAAAAGCCATGACCCTTTCCAGACGGGACACACACAAGCGCGAACCCCTAAAGGAGCCAAAGCGTGAAAATCAATCGTATCTCAATGTTGATCCTCTCAACGTCTATGATGCTCATTGGTGATTGGCCCGTCTGACGTGGTATCCCCTGAATGTCCCTTGCTTTGATCCAATTCATGGATGTGTATGTATGTCTTGTACTGTACTGTACACGCAAGTATTTTGTGCAGCGGCCGGAAAACGTACATACCCCTGAGTATGTAGTCACTGTCTGTTGGAGGTGGTTTTTCTCAAGACCCCGAAATCCGTTTCGGTCTGCTAGTTTGAGACGGCAACCAACATAGGACCGCCGACAAGTGACGACGGGACGGAAAGAAATTCAGAGACTTCATCTCAAGCACCAATATAGCCTCGCACAGAGACAGCACCAATGTTTGAGCCCTTCCCAGTCCCGTCAGCTGGTCGCTGGGCAATGCAGCAGAGGAAGCACAGGCAAAAGCCATCAACCAGCACGGACAGGAGCTTGTTCCTGGATCAATGCTCTCTGCCTCTCGCGACAGCCTAGAAAGCACAACAGAGAGAGACCTCGACGTGGTCACTCTACCGAGCCAGGCTCCCTGCTAGCTCAATGCAGCGGTGACCAATGGTGAGCGTATTGGCTCTTCTGGCATTGACAAGACCCGCTCAAGTCTCCTGGGAGTTGTGGGATTTTCACTTGGGGAATCCCTGGGATGGCTCCACGAGCACCTCGTGTTTAGGACGAGGGCGGTGCATGAGAGGCATGTGTGAATATCATTCATCTCGAGATGCCAACAGCAACCAGACGGACGGAGAGAATTGGCTTACGACGTCTTGCCCCTTGTCCCCTGCACGCTGACAATACTTTATCTCCAGGACTACGGAACGGTTACCAGCCTGATACGTTGTCTTTGAACGCGTGAGGTTGTGTTATTATTGTCGTGATCAAGCTGAAGACCGAAGAGCGGATGTTTGAGTGAGATAGATGAATCACGGCTGTCACTTCTCTTCCTTCCTTGCAATCAATCCTCATTCGAGGCTATTTTCTGAATAGGCGTTAGATTGCAACCACACTGATGTCACGTTCATGTCGAAAGGGTTGCATGTCCGAGATCACTTGCGATGGGCCGCGTTGGGGGTGGTCATGTACCCAGAATTTGGTCCTTCGACCGCTAAATTATAGAGACTCTACTGGCATATGTGCCCTGTAAAAAACCAACTTTGGCAGTCCATTGTAGTGAGCTCTGCACCACCGGGTCCCTTTTCTGCAAGTCCGACTAGGACCATCCCATGCATTATTAGCGTGTGGATAACACGAGTTACGTACCCACCTGGGCTCTTGAGGTTTCTCAATCACCTCACCTCACTTTCTGAACAACAGATTGACTTCTTCACCATCTCATCTCATCGTCTCGTTTCTCCTTGTTCAGGTGTCTTTTCTTCCTTTTCCTTTCTATTCTCCTCCTCATTATTGCCATCACCGTAACCCATCGCCATTTTGGCCTTCTCTGCCCCTCGTCTCCCCGGCTCGACTTTCTCCAAATTGCCGTACCCCTTTCTCTCAGCCGTCGCTTTCCCCGAATCTCCCAGAACCCTTCGAACGCTTTCGATCTTTCGATCTTCCACATTCTACATCTATCGTCTCCTGTGATCGTTTGGCTTTAGACCTCGACACTTGTAGCGTCCTGTCCGCAGTTGCATTTGCTGAGCCATTCGCAACTGCTCTCTCCAGACCCCTGTGACGATTCTCGACGACTGGAAATCTTGCCTGCCCTGTCGATCATAGCCCTCATCTCGCGAGCGAACTCCGTAATACTTTGTTTCCTCGCCTCACTCGTCTACTTCACCGTTCCATTGCCCAGAACTGTCGACGACTCTCTCATGTTCCGTTATAACTAGGTCGAGATTCAAGCTGTCTGTCACGACTCTTGATCTTGTCTCCAATCTACATTAGCATATCTCATCTCGTAGCAGAGTCAAAGTCTGCCCACGGTAATAGTGAGCTGCTTCCTCAGCACGATCAATTCCCTTTGTTTCTGGTCGCTGGCGTCCTTAATCACAGCCTCCTGATCTTCTTTCGTTTGTCATAAAGATATAACAGGAAAAAAAAAGGTAGGTGGTCACGCAAATCTCTCCTGGCT